ATCCACCCCCTTGGAGGCCCGACGTCCTCGTTGGCACACTTCCGGCTGGGTTAGGATCTGATACCATTTGTAACGACCCGCTCCACCACATGGTATGATATTGTCCGCTTTGGGCCTGAGCCCGCACGATTTTGCTCTTGGGCTTTACCCCAGAAGGCCTCATACCAATTGGAGGTGACACACTTACATATAAGCACTTCACCTTTCCTCTACCCAGGCGATGTGGGACTGTGCACCCATAGCTCGCCAGTATGGTAGCCTGGCAGTGTCTCTCGCACCCGCCCACGGCACACCCGCCCACAAGGTCATCACACTTACATATAAGCACTTCACATTTCCTCTACCCAGGCAATGTGGGATTGTGCACCGCACCTGTAGCTCGCCAGTGTGGTAGCCTGACAGTGTCTCTCGCACCCGCCCACGGCACACCCGCCCACAGGGTCATCACAACATCACATGGCTAAAGGTGCATAAAAACATGAATGCCACTATTATGTGTGAGACCCTTTTGTCAAATCATCACATGGGAAAAATTCACGTTTGTGAATTGGGCTCTATATTAGAAGACATATGATGACACACATGTTAAAGATAGATATAGAGAGATATGTGAGGTGTTGTCAAATCATCACATGGGAAAAATTCATTCACACGTCTATAAATTGGGCTTTGGAAATAGAAATATGACACACGCACAAAACAATAACATTAGCACTAGTAAATCTCAACTACTGAGTTTTTTTGAGCAATATCTACAAAAAATTAACATTATCTAAATAAAGGCATTGCATAATTGTTATGTTTTTTCACATAGATTTCTAAGTGCACTTATAAATAAATACATTACATAATCAAAATGCAGTAGGAAATCTATTTGAAAAAAAAAACATTATAATAACTTTAATTAAATAGAATCAAAATAAAGATATTAGATAATCAAAGTGCAATTAGAAATCTATTTGGAAAATAGATTTTCTGATAGTTTTGATCAAATATGAGAAAAAACAAAGATACTACATAATCAAAGTGCACTTATAAATCTATTTAAAAAAGAAATTAACATTATAATAGTTTTGTTAAAATAAAAACATTAGATAAGTAAATTGCACTTACAAATAGGGATGCCAATACTCTACCTCATGACAACAATTAGATATTTATAACAACTTAATGGAGTTGTTTATTGATCTAATGTGCAACTTAATTAGCGGTGTGGGGTGTAATACCATTTTCAATTACAAAAATAAGTCCCTTTTGCCAAGGTACCACTTTTTCTCCAAAGGTACCACGTTTTTGAACTGAAGGTACCACTTTTTGGCGTCCATGTATCATGTTTTCTAAACACTCGCATAGCTAGCTTAGAGAATATTTTGTGTTATTCATGGCCCTAATGAAGCTGTTTATTGATCTAGTGTGCAACTTAATTAGCGGTGTGGGGTATAATACCATTTTCAATTGCAAAAATAAGTTCATTTTGCCAAGGTATCACTTTTTCTGCAAAGGTACCACGTTTTTGAACTGAAGGTACCATTTTTTGGCGTCCAGGTACCATGTTTTCTAAACACTCGCTTAGCTAGCTTGGAGAATATTTTGTATTATTCATGGCCCTAATGCAGCTGTTTATTGATCTAATGTGCAGCTTAATTAGCGGTGTAGGGTGTAATACCATTTTCAATTGCAAAAATAAGTCTCTTTTGCCAAGGTACCACTTTTTCTCCAAAGGTACCATATTTTTGAACTAAAGGTACCACTTTTTGGCGTCCAGGTACCATATTTTCTAAACACTCTTTTAGTTAGCTGGGAGAATATTTTGTGTTATTCGTGGTCCTAATGGAGCTGTTTATTGATTTAATGTGCAACTTAATTAGCGGTGTGGGGCGTAATACCATTTTCAATTGCAAAAAGAAGTCTCTTTTGCCAAGGTACCACTTTTTCTCCAAAGGTACCACGTTTTTGAACTGAAGGTACTACTTTTTAACGTCCAGGTACCATGTTTTCTAAACACTCGCTTAGCTAGTTTGGAGAATATTTTGTGTTATTCATAGCCCTAATGGAGCTGTTTATTCATCTAATGTACAACTTAATTACCGGTGTGGGGTTTAATACAATTTTTAATTGCAAAAATAAGTCCCTTTTGCCAAGGTACCACTTTTTCTCCAAAGGTACCATGTTTTTGAACTGAAGGTACCACATTTTGGCGTCCAGGTACCATGTTTTCTAAACACTTGCTTAGCTAGCTTGGAGAATATTTTGTGTTATTTATGGTGCTAATGGAGTTGTTTATGGATATAATGTGCAACTTAATCACATTACACACATATATAATTGGGTTAATTCTACCCCTACCCCTAACCTTTGACCATATCGCACTTACACCCCCTCTAGATTTTAATATTCCATGCACACCCCCTAATCTTTGACTATACGTATCAACTTACCCCCTGCCGTTAAGTAGCAGACGTTTAGTGCTGATGTTAGGATAGATAAATGGGTAGAAGGTCAATTATGCCCTTTACAATGGCTGAAATGACATTTTTAACTTTATTGACCATTGCAGAGTTACAAAACTACCTTTACGAAGTGTTTATTGAGAGAGTGTGGTATCTCTTTGACAACTATGTTTATTGAGAGAGTGTGGTATCTCTTTGACAACTATTGAGATTAAATTATCCATATGTTTGACACCATGGAACCAAGGAAACAACAGGCCAATTTTCCATTCATTCAACTACTTCAATTTTGGAATGAAAATTTTTTTATAGTACATTCATGTAATAGTCAAAGAAAATTCAGTGAAGCCCTAATATAATAAGCCATACAATACTAATTCATGAAAACCCAAAAGAGCAACTTCATTTGATTCCATCTAAGGTAGATGTCAGTATGATAAGCCATACAATGGTTGCAAAAAAATGACACTGTTCAACATTAGAAATGTCTCATATCCCACATCATTTCAAGTACTTTTTGGATTCTGAGATCCTCCTATCTCACTTCCTCTAGCTCTCAATTGGGCAAATACAGGTATGTATTTCCTTATTCTGTGGTAAACCAATTTGTGACCCTTTTCCTTTGTGTGGTCCTAATGAGAGTCCTCTTGTTTGTGTATTTGATGGACATGCATTCTTTCTGTCTCTGTGCGTAATTGGAACAAAAGAACCACTTTGTCTTTGTAATTGTCACATGCAATAAAAATTAAGGTATTAAGGCATTGTATAATAATAACAAGGAACAAAAACAATATAAAAACAGACAATTTGAAACTTTGAATAATAATAATTTTAAAAAGAATCATCAAAATTAAAAAGAAATTTATAATTTGCCCAACACCTTGCAAGTGACCTCATTATCCAACTTAGCAGTACTGCTATTTAAAACATTCTGAACAATTACATAATAATTTTGAGTTTACTTAAGAGGTTGAATATTTTCATTGGAGCTCTTGAAAAATGCAATTTATTACTACATCAGATATAAAAGACAGCACTATCATGTAACGAAAAAAAAAAAAAATTGCCCAATGAATACAACTATGAAAGAATTCACAGATTTGTACCATACATATATATTTGATATTAAGAGACAAAAGACAACTTCAAAAAATAATAATAATAAAAATCACTGATTCTTACCAACAAATGGCCTTTGGAAAAATTTCACTGACCGTGTAGCATATGTAACATGGAAAAGAGCAAATGTACATTGAGCTATAGTACTAACAACTAAGTTATATTAAGAAACTGTTCTACAACAAAAATTATATCAAAAGTAGAGGAAATTACATCTTATAAGCCTTGATGGATTAAGATGGAGATAGTGAGGTTCCTTGAGGTGAATGGTAGCTTGTTGGCTGATGGAGGTGATGTTGGAATCATCAAAATTAAAAAAAAAAAAAAAAAATTATTAACCACAAGGAAACTGATGAAAGCTTACTTGAAATTAACGTGCTTGACTACAAATATCATATATAACGTGCTTTGGTCTTTACAAAATTCTTCAATTTGTAATTGTCATCTAAAAGCAATCTTGAAGCAATAGTTGCACGTAACTTGTAACGTCCACCTGTGCATTAAACCAGGTAATTTCTTTTCATGAGTATGGGATAGGAAAATGAAGTTCATGCGTGAATACATATAAGTGTAAATAAATAGGAATCTAGTGTTACAGAAACTATATATTTGATAAAGAAAACTTTTTCACCACTGTTGAATTTGAAATTAGACAAAATCTCGGTAATACTAAACTTTTATATGTGAAATATTTCATAAACAGGTAGCTTTATCCTTGGGAAATATGTTAGCAATTTGGTCAGATCAACACAGAGACAAAACATAAACAAAACCACAACAAATCTAATAATAGGAAAGAACTCCCTGTCCCAAAATAGATGTCCCTTTTTAGTGAGATGTGTAAGTCCCTTTTGAGTTGACATGGAACCTGTTTGTAACTAGTTGAGCTCAGTTCATTCGCATGATGGGTCTAGACTTCAGATTGAGCTTGACTTGGTTCATTTAATGAATGAGCTTGAGTGAGCTGTTAGCAAGACAAGCTATAACAACTTGCTCAAGCTTGAGCTGAGCTTGAACGGTTTGAATTGAATTATTGTCCTACTATTGCATGCTAATAACATCAAGGTTATGTCTGTCCTCAGTCTGCCCTCCTGGCATCCAGCATTAGCAGGGCTAACAAATAAATCTACATTTGACCGGCCATGATTATTTCTACCAGAAATTTGATTGTAACCTAAGTGCATGTGGTACAAGTTTAACTTGACAAAGGGAATTAGAAGTTGACACTCTCTGCAGCTTTGGTACATTTCTAATTTATGTTTTGTAAATTGCAGGTCGATTAGTTCTGACAGATCATGCACTCTACTTTGAAACTCTTCGTGTATTGTTTTGTGACACAACCAAAAGATATGACTTGTCTGATGATTTAAAATAGGTTATTAAACCAGAGTTAACAGGACCATTGGGAATTACCCTTTTTGACGAGGCAATCTTGTATAAATCAATATCCTTGTAAGGAATGATGCATATCGGTTTCATTTATAGGTCATAATATTCGGTTTCAACTTTTTTACATTTTAAACTTTCATGTATTATACATATGGTTTTTGTAGTTTTCCATAATCTGAAAGCTTATTTATATACCAGAGAATGTAGTTAAATTGTTCCTTTTTTTTTATTTCTGCTGTAGATCAGAACCGGCTGTGATGGAGTTTCCTGAACTTAAAGGACATACTCGTCGTGACTATTGGCTAGCCATTATTCAAGAAATACTATATGTCCACAGATTTATACATAAGTTTCAGATTACAGGAGTTGAAAGGGATGAAACACTTTCAAAGGCCATACTTGGAATTTTGCGAGTACAAGCCCTTAAAGAAATAAGTTCTTCTATCCCTCTCTGCTGTGAGTCTCTTCTTATGTTCAATCTATGTGATAAACTTCCAGGTGGAGACCTAATTCTGGAAACACTTACAAACATGTCAACCTCAAGGGAATCATATCGGACTAACAATTTTATTGCTAAAGGTGGAATGTATTCAATATCATCTTTGGCCATGGCTTCTAACTTAGGCTCTGTGTTTGGAATGAGTTCAAGTGTTCCCAATGAGGCTGGGCTTGTTGTGGGGGAAATTGCTGTAGGAGAGATGACTTCACTGGAAAGATCAGTTAAAGAGTCTAAAAGCGGCTATAAGGAGGTGGTGATTGCACAAGAAACAGTTGATGGAGTTAAAGTAAATGACATTGAGACCAATTTGATATGATCATGAAGGTGTTGCTAGAAATGATTTCTTTTTCTTTATTTTCATTTTTTTTCTTTTTCTGTTTTACATTCAAAATCGATAAGGATTTTAAGCGATTGGATATGAGTATAACAACTAATCCCTATATAGTTGGTGTTGCTAAAAAGAAGCTGCTCTAGGAAGCAGCCTTCTAACTTAATAAATAGAATGAATCCATTACGTGGCTAATGTCTGCAAATTGCATTTCATAAACAGACTGAATTAACACAAATGATATGTCATTTCTATTTTAGTCTAACTGTTTGGGGTTGGCAACTTGAATTCTGCCGTACTTTACTTTCATCTCAATAAACTTTGGCTGGAACCATGAGATTTCTTCTTGATAACTTCTAAATTTCACACGTATCTGCAGGAGTTACTATCCCCTGTTACAGAACTTGGGAAGTGGCTTCTTTCTCTGGCATATTGGGAAGACCCTTTGAAGTCTATGATATTCTGCTCAATTTTCACGTATGTTATTTGCTGGTAAGATTTTTCTTTGAAGACTTATTTTCTATTCTGTTGGTCATTTGGACAGCATGACTGCATGATAAAAATACAGCAGAGTTGCTATCATGGGCTCTATACTTGAATAAGACTTTAAGTGTTTCCCAATCTAAATGAAAGCAATTCCAGCATTTTGGTTAAGTAGCTGTAATACAAAGGAGTGATACTAAGATTTTAAAAATAACTTGCGATAGTATATTTTAGGCGATCAATTGAAAATGTGGCACAGGAAATCGCGTTAAGTTGTTATGTTATTGTCTTTGGATTTTTATGGGACTACATAAAATTTGGTAAAGCCTTGTTTTCTTGGGCTTGGTTTCTGGCAAGTTTCCACAAGTTTGGAGTTTGTTATCATTTTGCCTTTATGCATTTGATGTAGAACATTTTTTTATTTATTTATTTAGTCTTATCCTAGTTCTAGAAGTTGAACGGCCTAATTATATAATCAATCATCCAATTTAGTAGGGACCGTAGGGTCTAGTGTATTTAGAATTTGAGAGATGGTTCTAAAGTTTTGATTGATTGTGTGATGCAACTTTTTCTATTGGCAACGTCTGAGGGATTCTTGGTAGGATCTTAGAAGAGATTTTTTGTATTCTCTTTGTTCAATTCACTTTCTGCTACCAGATTTACTGTCCCCACTCCCCTTCTCCACTTTTCATCCTGAGGCCTAGATTCATTAAGAAGCCCTCTATCCTACAAATTTGACCTTTAATTGAACTCTAGAACTCTTAATAGCTTTAGTCCAGAATTTTCCGTAACTACTTTTTTGGGAATGATATCTAAAAAGTGATACATTTAGGACCAAGAAAATACTCTTCCAGTCCATAAAGCTGACTACCTATCAATGTGTTAGTGGGGAGCATTCATCCAAGTTTTCTAGTGTTGTCCATGTTAATTTGGTACTAGAGCTTGTACAAATTGCTTTTATGCCCTTGTTACACATTTGTATTTGAAACAACAATCAAATTTGGCCATGGAGGCTTTAGATCAATAAGATGAGGGGTGTATGCAGCTAGCTAGCATTTTTACCTAAAAAGCTGCCTCCTGAAGTTTAAAAATTGGAACTAATTGCCTTCATTTAGAAGATAAGAATTTGTGCCATTGGAAAAAGGGAAATCTTGGAATGGGATTATCATTGCCGCACAAAACCAGCCTGTCACTGTAGAACATCCTTTCAAAATCAGAAAGGTGGCTCTTTCATTTATATTAAAGGGTCCTCTATTTGCAAAATGGAAGTGGAAGTTTGATTTTAGAGGTGTAGAGAGATGAGTTTGATGGAAGTTGTAACTTATCTGTCTATGAGAGTGAAAAAAATTAAAAACCATACCAAAATCACAGATTATATACAGAAAATACATGAAAAATTACCTCAAACCCTAGATTCGTCCTTGAATTAAATTGTGAAGGAGAGAGAGATATAACCTAGGTCTGCCTTCATTTCACACCAAATAGAATAGGTCATTAGAGAGAAACAAAGTGGAGAAGACCTTTGCGTTCGCTGATGTTGTATGCCGAGATGTGTGGCCTGCCTGGTCTTGCTTCGCTGGTTACACAGAGAGGGGGGAGAGAGAGATAGAGCACTTGAGTTTCACGAAGTGTGGGTTAGGGCAGAGAGAGAGAGAGGGGGCAGGACTTTGCACGAATGAGAGAATTCAGTTAGGGCTCCAATGGTAAAATGTATTGGACAAGGGCATTTTAGGCAACACAGAAAAAAAGGGAAGGACATTTTAGGTAACACAATTTCTAAATAGTAAAAATGTATGTGCTACCTCAGCTTTTGGGTCAAACACATTTTAGGGAAACTATAGGACTTTGACTCAGCCTCTTAGTAAATATGGAGCCCTAACCCCATTTATATGTAATAATCCCTTTATTATATTGTCACCGACCATATTTATCTTGTTAAATTGAAGACTTTCCCATACGAGACACTTCGATCTGAAGTCATTAGCAAAGTATGTAATTTTATTATTTCACTTTATAAAGTTTTAATGTAAATTCACCGGACTTAAAAGAGGTTAATAATCTATACATGCATTACAAAGGTAAATCTTGCCTTCAGAAATTTCAAATTGGATTATGTTGGTAAAAATAGTAATGGAATGGAATATGTTAGGTATGTATTTTCATTTTCCACGAGTGTAATTTATCCTTTAAAATATATATCAAGAAAATTCAATTAATTTTTGTACATATTAAATTGACTAGTCACGCTTCAATATTTCTCTACATTAAAGAGACAGAAAAGACGTCAAGTTGAGCAGTTGTGTCAAGGCTTTGAGGAGGACTATTTTGTCATTTACTTTCTTTAGTACGGAGTAATATTTATTAGGAAAATAGCATTCTTGTACTTTTACAATCAGTTGACTTCTCGAAAACAAATGAGATGAGAAAATAGACATTGAAAAGTAATCTCATACTAACTTTTCTTTCAGGCAAATAAGAATACTCATGCGTTTCACTTTTGAAAGATAATCGTGTGTGTGTGTTTTATTTTTATTTTTCTAATTATGAAAAATCAAATGAAGTATACCAGTACAAAAATAAAATGTTAATATCTTAATCCAATTTAATAACATTATTACCTTGCTTAAATAAAAGGAATGTGTGAGTAGTATAACTCATCTATGAAAAAGATAATCAAGATAGTAACACTGTGCTTATATACAATATTAGATGTGTTTTGGTTTCTTTAAGCTAGCTCCAAACATCTTTAGTTTTTATGCTAATTAATGCAAGTTGCAAATGCGCACTGTATATCACCATATACCCATTTAAAATATTTGGGTTAAAATGTAATAACCTCCCAAAGGTATAGTATCATTACTTAGAGTCGTGTCCATTATCCAAAATTACACCGCCTAGTACATATATTATTATTATTATTAACTAAATGAATGAAATTTTTGATATAATATATATTATTCTCTAATTAGATTTCTTTTTATTGAATTAAATAAATAAATTTTTTAATATTATATATTACTGTGTTTTCTTTTCTAATTAGATTTTTTAATTAATGATGTACACGAAAGAGTAGTGTCTTTGTTGTTGAACTTAAGCCCTAGTTAAATGGTTAATCATCGCTCTACATTATCTTCTTGCGACTTTCCAATAACTTCTTTTTGTTATATATTGTTCAAAAACATCGGAGATTACATTGGGGCCCTCACATAAAAATATATGAAACCATTGAGCAAAAACTCTCTTTCGGCCCAACAGGAAGTTGAGCCCAAACACAAAGCTAAGCTCTAGTTGTAATCCAAGCCCAATCTACCCCAATTTACCCAAGCCCAACCAGCCTTACCCAGCTTCAATTCAATAGTCCCCAAAATTCAAAGTGTCGAATTAGTTACCAAATACTCCATCTGTCCTAAAAAAAAATGTCATGCTTTTTTTTTGGTCTGTTCCAAAATAATTGTTTACTTTCCTTTTCCAAACAATACATTTTACATCTTTTCATATATGTCATTGGAGTTTAAAATTTCAAATTTGAATATAAAGGCAAATTAATAATTTCCTAGGGAGACAAGGCATGTCCCACATGTCCCCTTAAAGTTTCCTACTCTCTAAAAGCGACATTTGAATTGGGACAGAGGGAATAGCACCTTAGCCTGGCAACTTAACCTTTGAAACTTAAAATTTGTTCTTGTAAAATATAACACTTAGTGTGTGTATATATATATCCTAACAAAAGAGAATGCCCATAAATCAATTAAAATAAAATTCGAAAAAAAAAGTAGTGTTGGTAAAATGATTATGACAAATCACGAAAATCATTTACACTTGTATATATATATATTGGAAATAAAAATTTTAAAAATATGGACCATAACTTGGAGGTGCATAAAATCACACTTCTTGAAGATACTTGAAACATCTCACAAGGTGGAAGGGATCACGACATATCTTTTTCTGGAATTCAACTAAACCTGAACTCAATCCAACACATTATATTTGCACGATACATTATTGGATGCAACAATTAATTAATCTCTTTTCAGAATGTCTAACTATATAAATTAAAAGAGAAAACTTCTAAACTTTGAGTAGAGAAAATTTTAGTATGAAACGATTGAACTTAATCCATGCTTTAGTGAGGTTTGTGTGGTCTTTATTAAAACCTCTTAAAGATAAATCACATAAATGTGTTCCAATCTCAACAAGATACATAAATTAAGAAGATTCATATTTCAACACTGATGGATGTATAATTTAAATACCCGTGGATAGGGGAAGATTGTTAAAGTAATGCGCTATCTTATAAGATTGAGATAGGCTCTACAGACTAAGATAAGGATTACAGATTATGATAAGGATTATAGACTAAGATAAGGATTACAGACTAAGATAAGGATTACAGATTACAATAAGGATTATAGAATACGATAAGGATTAAGCCTATAGATTATGATAAGGATTAAGACGACGGGAACTCTACGTAACATCCTGACCTAAGCCCTATGAATAAAGGGGGCTAATCGATGTTTTGAGGTACGCAATAAATCCTAATTCAATTTCTTAATTTCTCCAGAGAGATTACTTCTTACACTGACTTATTCGTCGGAGCCTACTTCTCTTTATTCAGGAAGTCAGGTCAGATCTGGGTTGCGCAGAATCCATCATCAACAGTTGGCGCCGTCAGTGGGAACATATTTTTGTTCTCTAAACAAAGCATGGTTCAATTGCGATCTGGTCTGGCTGCTGGCGAGGACGAAGTGTTGCAGGCTTCTGATAAAGGGGACTCG